GTCTCTCTTTATAGGGCTTAACCGCCTAGAGAGTAAGGATGTCGACTAGGGGCTTAGGATTCTCTGACACTCTTAGTTTCGATGGCACAAATTTTGATATTTGGGTAATTCGCATGCTTAACCTCTTTAGGGTCATGGACCCAAATTTAGAGCGAATTGTAGATATGGGTTTTTCTCCTCCAAAGGATCCCCAAAGATTATCTTTAGAGGATGAGAAAAACTCTTATCTCAATGCTCAAGCTTCTAATGTGCTTTTTGATGCTTTGAGCAATGTAGTTATTTTTCAACTCATGCCGTTCCGGGATGTTCATGAGTTGTGGACAAAGCTTCAAGATAAATATGGTGTGTCCAATATTTGTGGGGATGATTGTTCTCCCTCCACCTCCGGTCGTATAGTCTTCTCAACTTCTTCTACTTCACCTACATGTGGTTTGCCACAAGGTAATGATATGGTGAGTAGTGTTGGTCATTGCAATGATGATAGTATGCTTATTGTGGATGATCCTTCATCACTATCTTATTGCAATGCTCCCTCTTTGGGCTTTAACACTTCGAGCACTCCAAATGTTTCACATGCTTGTGTTGATAGTCCTTGCATATCATGTAGAAAATTCTTGACTAGATCTCATGATGATATGCTTGCTATGTCTTGTTGCCATGATAAAAATGCATCTATTTCCTCGAATTGTTGTGCTAACAATGTAGAGGAAACCGAACACTCCATGGAACAAGATGTGGTGTTTAATGGTGCCTCAAGGGATCCTATATCATCATCTATTGCTTTTTGCCTTATGGCTAAGGCATCAAAGGTATCTCCTACTTTGTACCTCAATATGTCTCTTGATGATGATGTTGATGCTAATGATGATGAGGATAATGATGAAGAGAATGATAATGTTGCCTCCTTAAAAACTAAGGGGGAAATGATTTTTAAAGCTCTTCATAAAAATAAAATTGCTCGTTCCAACTTCATGGAAATAATGTACCTCAAGCGTACCTACCTACCAACCAACACCCTTCCTCCCTCCCTTTCTTGCTTGCTTGTCTACCTTTTTCTTTTCTCGAGCAGTTCTTGCTTGTCTATGATCTACGATGATGATGGATCAGTCCCAGCTCCTGGCTGCCTCTAGCATAGTAGAAAATATGTCGGCCTTTTAGTTATTTTTCTTGTCTTGGTTGGTTGTGAATCAGATCAGATCAGATCAATTCAGTTTGTTCAGTTTCCTTCATTTCCTTGGTTTGGATTCCTGGGTTTGTGCCTGCAGGAAGAGTGAGCCATGAACACGCCGCAGCTTTCCCCGACATCGGCCAAATCACCGTCCAATCCATCAAGGTATGCACGCTCCTCCTCCTGCCTTGCTTGCAGTATTTCAGAAGAACCCCAATCAAGGTTCCCCTCATACTATTGTGCGCTCATCTACTAAGGTTAGAGACACTTATTTTGGGACGCAGGGAGCTAATTCTTGCTGGTGCTGGCTTGCGCAGGTCGAGCAGAGAGGCTTGTGGTTCCACCTCACCGACTCCATGGCCGTCCGGGATGCCTTCCAGTTCCACGGGATCAACCAAGCATGGCACCTTCAAGCAGATGCAGCTCTGTTTCCAATGCCAGAGGGGCACAGCTGCGTCACCGCACTTTCAGATTCTGAGTAGGCAGGCTAGTGTGTGTGTGTGTGTGTGTGTGTGTGTGTGTGTGTGTGTGTGTGTAATATTGGGATTCATGTGTTGTTAAGAGTCTGGTCTTTCTTTCAATGAAGTTTAATAATTAAAGAGATTGTCAGCTCAAACATGTTTTACTGACAGTAAAGTAGCAGCTTCTTTCTTATGCAGATCAGAGCTTCACAAGGGCAAGTTTTCGATTTTTACGCACCTGGTTGCGACGGCGATTACTGATTATCTAATCCCTTCTCAAACAACCTACCAACCAACTGGTGTGTTGGATCATCATGAGCTAACACGGCTCAGAAAGCGTCTGTTAATTTGCACAAAGGAGGGACTGTCTGATCTGATGATGAAACACCAGCACTTGTTGACACTTGCTTCACAGACAGACAGACACCCACCACCACCATCAGGGAAAAAACAGACCAACTAATGCAGCTACAGCTAGTGATCGACTTGGTGTCGTGGTGAGGAGACGACGACGAGGTCAGCCGGCGACGGGGTGCTCCTTGGCGTTGACGGTGGCCTTGTCGACATGGCCGTCCTGCCTGGGGATGATGAGTCCGAACCCTCCCTCCTTCCTCAGCTCTTGTACAGGATGTTCACCTCCCCCTGCATTAATTTGTTGTTCAGTTGAGACAAACTCCAGTTTAGATTATCTAGTTCACATAAGTTGAGTTGCAAGTTGCAACCAGTCATGAATGTACACTAAGATCTTGTGTAGTGCATAGGCTGTG